TTCACGAAGTCTGGCGAGGTCTAAAGGACACATCTACACTAGTGTTTCTCAACCTTCCTAATGCCGTGACCCCTTAGTACAGTTCCTCATGTTGTGGAGACCCCCAACCATAACATTGTTTTTGTTGCTACTTCATAACTATCATTTTGCTACTGTTATGAATTGGAATGTAAATATCTGATATACAGGATGTATTTTCATTCACTGGACAAAAATACGCCCAAATCTGAATACTGGTGGAATTGGGGTGGTGATTTTGTCATTTGGGAGTTGTAGTTGCTGGGATTTATAGTTCACCTACAATCAAAGAGCATGTTGAACTCCACCAACAATGGAATTGAATCAAACTTGGCACACAAAACTCCCATGACCAATAGAAAATACTGGAAGGGTTTGGTGGGCATTGACATTGAGTTTGGGAGTTGTAGTTCACCTACATCAAGAAAGCACTGTGGACTCAAACAATGATGGATCTGGACCAAACTTGGCGCGAATTCTCAATATGCCCAGATGTAAACACTAGTGGGGTTTGGGGAAAATAGACCTTGCAATTTGGGAGTTGTAGTTGCTGGGATTTATAGTTCACATACAACCAAAGAGCATTCTGAACCCCACCAACGATAGAATTAGGCCAAACTTCCCACACAGAATGCCTTGAAGGGACTCACTGGTGAAGCAGCCTTCCAGCCTCACAGCTCTCCCTAACCCTGCACATGTCCACCATGCTGCCATGTGCTGAGCACACCTGCTCTCCCCTCCCCACTTGGAGTCTCAGAAACAGCCCTCCCCTTGGCTGAGAGGCTGGCCAATCACAGCAGGAGGAGAACTTTTGGTGGGAAGATTCACCATCTCTTTCCAAAAAGGACGAGAAGGACAGGTGGAGAGATCTTCAGCCTTCTCTTCCAAAGAGATTCCAAAGACCATCAGATATAGATGTTTTCTGATAGTCTTTGGCGACCTCTGAGAAACCCCCTCGAGACCCCCTCCCAGGGGTCCCGACCCCTATATTGAGAAACGCTGATCCATACTATAAAAAGAGTACAGCTCGACATCACTTTACCTGGCGTGACTCAATGTTCTGGAATAATGGGAGTTGTAGTTTGGTGAGTCACCAGCATTCTCTTCCATAATACTATTGGTCGGTGCTGTGTGTTTGGGATTGGTGGTCCCACTGATTTGGTGCATTGCTGTACGATGCTGTCGCTCACAAATAAGAGGTCTGGGTTATAACCTCGGTGCCATCTCCCGCTGTTGTAGGATGGTGGGAGCTTGCTATCATGGATGAGTGATAGTTTGTGCAGTTCAGACCAGGAGAGGACAGCCTCTCCATTTTTATCTTCTTGGGCATAGCCCCATACGTGGCTATGGCTGTTAAAGTCACCAATTACTACCGCCCTTTGGTGCCTATCAAAATTCTCGGGGGAGGAGAAGCAGAACTCTTCATTTGGGGGTTTGTACACAGAGGTGATGGTGATGTTATTAAGCTCTACTGTTATAACCTCTATATTGTTTTCTTCAGTGTTGTGGGCACTGCTGACTTGGAGGCCTGGTTTGACAAAGACAGCGCTTCCATACTGCGCATGTGGTCTTCCCGCTACTAGGAGCTTAGCCGGTATTGCACCACCTGACATCCCCCGGGAAGTAGCAGCCAATAGTGAAAGGACCAAGGCAGAGACATCTCCAGCTCATCCCTTGTTTGGGTATCGGCCAGCACGTCAACGACTTAAATCAAGAAATAGTTTTCTAAGATCTACAGAGACACTCGGTGGAACACCTCAGCAAGCAAGAGTCCAAAAGTGGCAGGCTCAAACCCAGAACCTCAATCAATGGCTGATACCAAATGAGAGACTCCCCCCTGGGCACACAGAAGACTGGGCGACTTGGAAGGCGCTGAACAGACTGCGCTCTGGCACCACGAGATACAAGAAATGGGCCACAAAGTGGAATCCACGACATGCGAGTGTGGAGAAGAGCAAACCACTGACCACCTGCTGCAATGCACCCTGAGCCCTGCCACATGCACCATGGAGGACCTTCTTGCAGCAACACCAGAAGCACTCCAAGTGGCCAGATACTGGTCAAAGGACATTTAATCAACTACCAAACTCACAAATTTTGTATTCTGTATTTTGTATTTTTGTATTCTGTCTGTTTGTTTGTTTTGTTCTGTTAGAAATGTAATATAACTGACTGGTTGCTGATGACTCAATAAATAAATCTTCCATAGTGTTGAGATAAGGCAGTTAAAGTGGTATCAAGTTGCATTAATTCTGTAGTGTGAATACACCCCATAAGTGAGTGAATAACTTACCTACGTAGTTCTCTAAGTGCAGCCAGAAAAATCATGGCTTGAATAGTGAAATTTTGAAATCTATTTTCTTTCCGAAGGTTTTCGGCACACACACACAGGGGGCCTAGTCATGGTTGGGTCTCTTATTATAAAAATAGAAGCGGAGATTTGTGTGTATGTATGTGTATATAGATATAATTGTGTGTTGCCACAAGCTGTGCCTTTCAACAAGGCGAAACCGTGATAAATGCTGGCGGGCAGCCGACGTTCCGCAGATTTCATTAACCTCCCGGTTGCGCCTGGGGAGGCGACCTCCATTATGACGGCAAACGGTGCCTTCTCTTTTTTTGGGAACGTCCTCTGTTTTCTGCTGCGTCGAAGGACAAAAAAGTTGTATTCGTGCATTTATTAGAAGGGAAGTTTAGAGGGAACTTGGTTGCCCTGAAGTGCCCCCTTCGCTGGCTCAAAGCAGTAGAGTGAAGTGAGAGGTCCATTGTACATAAAAGTTCTACCTGGTGATGACAAGTTCAGAGTTTACAGCAGACATGGGCAAACCTGGGCCCTCTCTCCAGGTGTTTTGGACTTCAACTCCCACCATTCCTAACAGCCTCGGGCCCTTCCTTTCCCCCCTCAGCCCTTTCACACAGCTCTAGAAAACCCCACGTTATCTGCTTTGAACTTGGATATATGGCAATGTGGATTCAGATAACCCAGTTCAAAGCAGACACTGTGGATGATCTGCCTTGATATTCTGGGTTATATGTCTATTACTATTCCTTGTTGTAAATCAGTAGTTCCCAACCTTTTTTTTTTTTACTAGGGATCACTTGACCAAGGAGCACTTTGACCAGGGACCACTTGACTAGAGACCTCTTGATCAGGGACCTCTTTGACCAGGGACCACTTGACCAGGGACCACTTGACCAGGGACCATTTGACCAGGGACCTCTTTGACCAGAGAGCACTTGACCAGGGGGCACTTGAACAGGGGCTACTTGAACAGGGACCTCTTTGACCAGGGACCACTTGACCAGGGACCTCTTTGACCAGGAACCTCTTGACCAGGGACCTCTTGACCAGGGATCACTTTGACCAGGGACCTCTTTGACTAGAGAGCACTTGACCAGGGGCCACTTGACCAAGGGCCACTTGAACAGGGGCCACTTGACCAGGGACCTCTTTGACCAGGGACCACATGACCAGGGACCACTTGAACAGGGACTTCTTTGACCAGGGACCACTTGACCAGGGACCTCTTTGACCAGGGACCACTTGACCAGGAACCTCTTTGACCAGGGACCACTTGAACAGGGACCTTTTTGACCAGGGACCACTTGACCAGGGACCACTTGACCAACCAAGGACCTCTTTGGCCAGGAACCTCTTTGACCAGGGACCACTTGACCAGGGACCACTTGAACAGGGACCTCTTTGACCAGGGACCTCTTTGACCAGGGAAAACTTGAACAGGGACCCCTTTGACCAGGGACATCTTTGACCAGGGACCACTTGACCAGGGATCACTTGACCGGGGTCCTCTTGATCGGGGAACAGGGACCTCTTGAACAGGGACCTCTTTGAAGAGAAGATGGATCCGCAATAATGCATTTTAGTGTGATGATGTATGTATTTTAGAACTATGTGGAGCTTTGCCTCAAGAGGATTAAAATTATTATTAATATTAATCAAATCAATAATTAAATATAAATATTAATGTTAACATATGTATATATACTAGTTGCACTCTTCTAATATCTCAAGGACTGTCACAAAGAGTAGGAAACGGGTTTGCTTTCTTGTTGCTTCAAAGGATAGGACCAGATCTTATGGAGACATGATAACCAAGATTAAATATCTGAAAGGCTGTCATAAGGAAGAGGGAGAAGGCTTGTTTTCCACTGCCCTGGAGACATGGGTTCAAATGACAGGGAAGGAGATTCCACCTGAACATTAGGAAGTACTTCCTGACTGTAAGAAGAGCTGTTCAACAGTGGAACTCTCTGCCTTGGAGTTTGGTGGAATCTCCTTCTTTGGAAGTTTTTGAGCAGAGGGTGGGTGGCTATCTGTTGGGAGTGCTTTGTGCTTTTCCTGCTTGGATTGGATGGCTCCTGGGGTCTCCTTCCAACTCTATGATTCTAAGTTACCAGATGGTAGAGTCTGATTGACTCTTAAACCCCTTCCACACAGCTGTATAAAATACACATTGAACTTGATTATATGGCAGTGTGGACTCAGAACCCTTCCACACAGCCATATAACCCAGAATATCGAGGCAGATACTCCACAATATCTACTTTGAACTGGGTTATCTGAGTCCACACTGCCATTTAATCCAGTTCAATGTGGATTTTATACAGCTGTGTGGAAGAGGCCTCAAATAACCCAGTTCAAAACAGATATTGTGGATTATCTTCCTTGCTATTCTGGGTTTTATGGCTGTGTGGAAGGGCCCTGAATCTTCATTGCAAGAGCAATTCATCAATGGAGCCAATGGCAAGGTCATTTTCTCTAGATATCTTCAAAAAGAGACTCTGAGATGACCAGGAGGCTTCCAGATGTGATAGAAACACCCTCCATTATCGTTTGAGGGTTTGTGGGAAGGCTTGGAGCAAGATTTCGGAGCCCAAGGGCCACAACATGGGTGTCTCCAAAATTGGTGCATTGGTGTCCCTCCTAACTCTCTGCTTCTCTGCTTCTTCTCTCTCCGCAGCCAGAACCTATGACGACCTCCACCACTATGTTCTACCGGTCGCCTTCCTCGGTGATGTCTCCACCGTCGAAGAACAAGTTCAAGCGGCAAAGCCGGATCTTCTCCCAAGTCTTGTACCGGACCCTGAGCTACAAGGACCGCAGCTCGGTGGCTTCTTACCCAACTGAGAGCAAGGACGACCCCTCGGAGCTCTCCACTCAGGTCTCGGCCCCCGGCGTGCTGAAGGTGTTTGGGTGCCACATCTGTGCAGGCGCCCATTACAAGAGTGTTTTGGCAACGGGCAGCTCCAGTGCCCAGGAGCTGGTCAAAGAAGCCCTGGAACGCTATGGACTGGATAAGGTGGATGCCGGGCATTATGTCCTTTGCGATGTGATTGGGAAGTTTTCGGGGTCGGAGAAGCAATGGCAGATGGAAGGGCTGAGGGTCCTCCGGGACAACGAGAAACCTCTTCTGATCCAGGATCTTTGGAAGCCCCGGGAAGGCTTCTCCAGGAGGTTTGAGCTCCGGAAGCGCTCCGAAGTGGAAGAGCTGGCTGCCAAGGACAAGGACACCATCACTGCAGGTGAGCATGAGAACGGGCTTTCCTTCGGTCTTGTTGTGATGTGCCATCAGGTCAATGTCTTTTTTATTATTAACTAGCCGTCCCCTGCCACACGTTGCTGTGGCCCAGTCTGTGCATATGTGTTTTGTGTGTGTGTGTATATAGGTAATTTTTTATTAAATAATTTTATTAGGTTTTTGGTTACACAATAGATTAAAAAAAGAGGAGGTAGTAGGGGAGGATGGGAAGGGGTTATTTATTTATGGCGTCAGGAGCAAACCAAACAGTTATATTGCATTTTTTATACAAACAAACAACCAAAAGACAAAGTTTGCAAGCTTAGTAGTTTATTTATTTGTTGTGTCAGAACAAAGCAAACAAACAGACAAAATACAAAATTTGTGAGTTTGGTAGTTGATTAAATGTCCTTTGACCAGTATCTGGCCACTTGGAGTGCCTCTGGTGTTGCCGCAAGAAGGTCCTCCATTGTGCATGTAGAAGGGCTCAGGTTGCATTGCAGCAGGTGGTCAGTGGTTTGCTCTTCTCCATACTCGCATGTTGTGGATTCCACTTTGTAACCCCATTTCTCTGCATCTCGTGGTGCCAGAGCGCAGTCTGTTCAGCACCTTCCAAGTCGCCTAGTCTTCTGAGTGCCCAGGGGGGAGTCTCTCATTTGGTATCAGCCATGGATTGAGTTTCTGGGTTTGAGCCTGCCACTTTTGGACTCTTGCTTGCTGAGGTGTTCCTGCGTGTGTCTCTGTAGATCTTAGAAAACTATTTCTTGATTTAAGTCGTTGACTGGCTGGCTGATACCGTGTTGGTCATGGGAGTCCTGTATGCCACGTTTGGTTCAATGCCATAATTGGTGGAGTTAAGAATGCTCTTTGATTGCAGGTGAACTATAAATCCCAGCAACTACAACTCCCAAATGACAAAATCAACATTTTTGAGTGAAGGACATACATTGGGTTGTTAGGTATATGCTGTCCAAATTTGGTGTCAATTGGCCCACTGGTTTTTGAGTTCTGTGAATCCCACAAATGAACATTACATTTTTATTTATATAGACTAGCTGTACTCACCACGCGTTGCTGTGGCCAACCTTCCCTCCCTTTTTCTCTCCTCCTTTCTCTCCTTTTTTTCTCTCCTTCCTTCCTTCCTTCCTTCCTTCCTTCCTTCCTTCCTTCCTTCCTTCCTTCCTAATTTCCCTTTTTTTTCTTTCCTTCTCTCCTTCCTTCCTTCTGAGGGGGAAAACGAGGGACCCTGAGGCTGTTAGGAATGGTGGGATTTGGAGTTCTAGAGGGCCAAAGTTCGCCCATGCCCGAACTAGATGTTCTCAGTCAACTCGGTGACTCTTCTCCAAAGAAGAGCATTCCCTTTGAATGAATGCCCGTTTTCCATCCAGGTAGAGAGTTCTTATAATTTATAAGATCGGAGCATTTTGCAGATCCAAAGCTATTCTTGCTAAGGTCTGCTTCTCCCAGAATCTAAGTGAGTGTTCTCTCGCTCTCCCTGCTACCGCTTTTTAATTTCTTTTGTGGAAATAGTGTCAGGAAACCAATTGACCCTCTTCACTGGTTAAAAGAAAGAAAGAAAGAAAGGCTGTTCAGAGCACAGCAAGTGATCTGATCTAATTGTCAAGGATATGTCTTTGCCAAGGGATCAGTTGGAGAGGCACCAGCTTTCCTCGACATCCAAACCAAGAATGAGGGTCATTCCAGACAGGTCCTATATATATATCCCAGAATCTGTTCCCAGCTTTTCTATTTATCTTGGATTATCTGGCAGTGTGGATTCACATAATATAAATAGGTGGCAAGCTATTCAACCTCAGCAGCCTGAAAGCCAAAACCAAGGTTACAACATTTGTTATAGAACTCCAGTATGCTGATGACAACGTCGTCTGTGCGCATTCAGAAGAAAATCTACAAGCCACTCTAAACACCTTCGCAGAAGCATATGAGAAGCTCTCCCTGTCATTGAACATTGAAAAAACCAAGGTGCTGTTCCAGCAGACACCAGCCAACCCCTCTCCAATGCCAGAGATACAGCTTAATGGTGTAACATTAGAAAATGTTAATCATTTCCGCTCCCTTGGCAGCCACCTCTTCACCAAAGTCAACATCGACACCGAAACACAACACCGCCTGAGCTCTGAGAGCGCAGTATTTTTACGAATGAAGCAGAGAGTGTTTGAGGACCGGGACATCCGTAGGGATACCAAGGGGCTTGCCTATAACGCTATTGTCCTCCCAACCCTGCTATATGCCTGTGAGACGTGGACTGTCTACAGATGTCACATGCAACTCCTGGAACGATTCCATCAGCGCTGCCTCTGGAAAATCCTGCAAATCTCTTGGGAAGACAGGCAGGGAAACGTCGGCGTGCTGGAAGAAGCAAAGACCACCAGCATTGAAGCGATGGTCCTCCGCCATCAACTCCGCTGGACCGGCCATGTTGTTTGGATGCCCAAACCCTCTCCCAAAGCAGTTGCTCTACTCTGAACTCAAGAATGGAAAATGGAATGTTGGTGGGCAGGAAAAGAGATTTAAAGATGGGCTCAAAGCCAACCTCAAAAACTCTGGCATAGACACTGAGAACTGGGAAGCCCTGGCCCTTGAGCGCTCCAGCTGGAGGTCAGCTGTGACCAGCAGTGCTGCAGAATTCGAGGAGGCACGAGTGGAGGGTGAAAGAGAGAAACGTGCCAGGAGGAAGGCGCATCAAGCCAACCCTGACCGGGACCGCCTTCCACCTGGAAACCAATGCCCTCACTGCGGAAGAAGATGCAGAGCAAGAATAGGGCTCCACAGCCACATACGGACCCACAAGAACACTGGAAGACAATCCTCCTCGGAAAACGAGGGATCGCCTAAGTAAGTAAGTAAGTAAGTAAGTAAGTAATCCATTTTAAAGCAGAAAACCTGGGATCAGATACTGGGATATAGAGCCTGTCTGGAAGAGCCCTAAGCCACAATTTCTATGTGTCTATTTTGCCCTCAGTGGGTTAAACTGCTGAGCTGCTGAACTTGTTGACCGAAAGGTCAAAGGTTTAAGTCTGGGGAGCAGGGTGGGCTCCCACTGTCAGCCCCAGCTTCTGCCAACCTAGCAGTTAGAAAACATGCAAATGTGATTAGATCAATAGATACCACTCAGACAGGAAGGTAACGGCACTCCATGCTTTTAAAATGTCCCAGTTTTCCCCCCTTCTCCCATTTCCCCCCCCCCTTTATCTTCAGCTTTGTTTCAGTTGATGCAAACAAAATTCAAAGTGTAGAAGTAAATTAATCTATACATACAATAAAAGTGAAAATGTGTATGTGTATATGCAACAGAGATGTCCACTTAGACAGACTCCCACTTCCACCTCACTTAAGTGGCTGAGTGGGAAAAGGAAAGGGCCTGATTCTGTTAGGAATTGTGGGAATCCAAAAGACCTGGAGAGTCAAAGTTTGCCTATTCCTGATGTAGATATACCTTGGAATTCGATTCCATTTTTTAGCCATGGAAATCTATTGGGCAAGTCAAATTTTCTCAGCTCTGGAAAATCCTATGATGGGTTGCCGTAAGTGGGAAACCACACGACACACACAACAATACAAATGAATACGATCAAAACAATCTTAGCGGATTAGAGAGATGATTGGCCAAAACTAACAGAATGGAGATCAACAGGGACAAATGCAAGAGACTCCACTTAGGCAGAAAAAAGGTGACAGAATGGGGGACGAGGCCTGGCTTGACAGCAGGACGTGTGGAAAAGAGTTTGGAGTCCTCATAGGGAGGAAGGGAAACATGACCCAACAATATCATGCAGCAGCAAAAAAAGCCAATGGGATTTTTGCCTGCATCAATAGGAGCATAGTGTCTAGATCCAGGGAAGTCATGCTCCCCATGCTCAATTCTGTCTTGGACAGACCACACCTGGAATACTGTGTCCAGTTCTGGGCACCTCAATTCAAGAGAGATGTTGACAAGCTGGAATGTGTCCAGAGGAGGGCAACTCAAAGGATCAAGGGTCTAGAGAACAAGCCCTATGAGGCGCGGCTTAAAGAACTGGACATGTTTAGCCTGCAGAAGAGAAGGCTGAGAGGAGACATAATAGCCATGTAGAAATATGTGAGAGAAAGCCACAGGGAGGAGGGAGCAAGCTTGTTTTCTGCTGCCCTGAAGACTAGGACACAATGGAACAATGACTTCAAACTGCAGGAAAGGGGATTCCACCTGAACATGTCTGTGAGAGATAGCTGTTCAGCCGTGGAACTCTCTGCCCTGAAGTGTGGTGGAGGTTCCTTCTTTGGAGGCTTTTAAGCAGAGGCTGGGTGGCCATCTGTTGGATGTGCTTTAAATGCAATATTCCTGCTTCTTGGCAAAATGGGGTTGGACTGGATGGCCCATGAGGTCTCTTCCAAGTCTAGGATTCTATGAAACCATTTCTGATCAAAAAGAAATCTAATAATTTAGCTACTAGCAAACATAGTTAGTTTAATTTAGCTAGATATCAATCAATCAATCAATCAATCAAAACTTTATTGCAGTCCAAAGAACCAATGTTTTCTGCTGCCCTGGAAACGAGGATTCGGAACAATGGCTTCAAACGACAGGAAAGAAAGGAGGTTGCACCTGAACTTCCTGACTGTGAGAGCTGTTCAGCAGTGGAACTCTCTGCCCCAGAATGTGGTGGAAGCTCCTTCTTTGGAGCTTTAAAAAAGAGACTGGATGGCCATCTGTTGGGGTGCTTTGAATGTGATTTTTCTGCTTCTTGGCAGAATGGGGTTGGACTGGATGGCCCACCAGGTCTCTTCCAACTCTAGGATTCTATGAATATTAAAAGCAGTTTGTAAACACTTTAGATTGCATAATTAAAAACAATTGAGCAAAACCGCCCTGACGAGACAGATCTGTTTCCATTGCAGCCCGACTCTCCAGGCTTGATGGAGGGATGGGGGATTTGCAGACCAATAAAGAGAACTCGGAGCGTGCCATATCTAAACATTGGTTAGTCTCCAAGTGTATTGTCGAAG